GCACACGTTGGAGAACTCATAAGTGTCTCAGTAAGGGCATGGTAGAAAGAACCTATTATAAGCTTTGGGTTTTGATAGGTGTTTCAAATACCCGCAGAATTTCAATGACAGAGGGATGACACAGAGAAGCCGATGCCACTGAAGGAAGAGCTTATTACCCACAGATGCAGGAGCACAGCACAACAGGCAGGGCCACACAGGGCAGCACCAGGGCCGATCAGGTGGCAGCTGGAGGGGAAGGCATGGGTGAGAGCCTCTGCTGTGGTTTTCAGAGGAAGAAATGGGCAAGGCGGGGTAAGCAGTGTAGACATTTTATTTGGTCATAAAAAGGAATGAACTCTTGATACTTGTAACTACGTGGATGAATCTTGGAAAAATTATGCTATGTGGAAGAAGTCCATCACCAAACACCATCCACCACATTATTCTATTTATATGAAATTTACATAAGAAGTAAATCTCTAGAGACTGAAAGTAGATGTGTGGTTGCTTAGGACTGAAGAGGTGTTAAAGGGAAATGGAGACAACCGCTTAGGAATAAATGGGTGTGGGTTTATGAAAATGTTCTAAAATTGATTGTGATGATGATACTAAAAATCATTGAGTTCAAATGGCAGAACAATAAATGTGAGTTTTATCTCAAGAAAACCATTCTAACAAAAAGTGATGGCTTACATGAAACGAAGTAGAGATGCTAGACTGTCATGGCAGATTGTGGAGACAGAGATTGAAAAGCTCAGAGCACTGAGCAGTGAGCTTGCTGGCAAAGACAGATGTGATTTGCAGAAGTGGACAGTGCACCAGGTGACTATTTCTATGGAAGAGCCAAAGGGCTCTCTACTAAGTAATAAGGAATGAGTAGGTGAACAGGGTATTAACCTCATCTTGTCTGTCCTTTGCAGGCTGGAACTGCCTCTAGGAGATGATATTGTAGAACCTGTCTCCCTAGCAGCGAAGGGAAGAATAGAATCCCAGGAAGCCAGAGGCCAGGCAGAAGCAAGGCAGAAGCAAAGTGGACCAAACTTCCAAGACTTAAAAGATGCAAGGGCCGGCCAGGCGCAGTGGCTCAAGCCTGTAATCCCAGCACTTTGGGAGGCTGAGGCGGGTGGATCACAAGGTCAAGAGATCGAGACCATCCCGGTCAACATGGTGAAACCCCGTCTCTACTAAAAATACAAACAATTAGCTGGGCATGGTGGTGCGTGCCTGTTATCCCAGCTACTCAGGAGGCTGAGGCAGGAGAATTGCCTGAACCCAGGAGGCGGAGGTTGCGGTGAGCCGAGATCGCGCCATTGCACTCCAGCCTGGGTAACAGGAGCGAAACTCCGTCTCAAAAAAAAAAAAAAAAAAAAAAGATGCAAGGGCCGGGCGCGGTGGCTCACGCCTGTAATCCCAGCACTTTGGGAGGCTGAGGCAGGTGGATCACGAGGTCAAGAGATCGAGACCATTCTGGTCAACATGGTGAAACCCTGTCTCTACTAAAAATATGAAAATTAGCTGGGCATGGTGGCGGATACCTGTAGTCCCAGCTACTAGGGAGGCTGAGGCAGGAGAATTGCTTGAACCCAGGAAGCGGAGGTTGCGGTGAGCCGAGATCATGCCATTGCACTCCAGCCTGGGTAACAAGAGCGAAACTCCGTCTCAAAAAGAAAAAAAAAAAAGATGCAAGAATTTTGTTCCATCATATAACAGTTTGCAGGGGACCAGCCCCACATCCCACCCGTGGGTATTCCCAGTTCAGTGGTGACAGAGGAATGAGAAAAAGACAGATTAAGAGAGATAGTGGGACCAGGGGACCATCACTTTTTACCGGAGGCAGTTAAGGCCCTGAGCTCTCGTTTCCACAGTGTTTATTGAACACAATCACTTTTATCTATAGTGGGGGTGGCAGGGTGAATCTGTGAAGGGAAGCTGTGCATCAAACATAAAATTGGCAGCACTGGCAGTTTATGTGAGTTTCTCATGAGCTAAAAGCGTATGCTTATCAATAAACAATGCACCTGGTGGGAGCCGGCTTAGCAAGGAGCCTACATGTCTGGTTACATTCCAGTGCTTCAAGGGAGTGTTATGTCCTTGGGCACTACATTTAGAATATCAAAGCTTAGGACACTCTGCTCCTGGGAACATGCTGGCACAGAGAGGCCTTCCTCCCCAGAGGCCTCCACAGCCTTCCAAAGTTTATTGTTCCTGATTTCTTTGTTGTACATTACTTATAACCAGTTTATGTAGGCACACTGTAAACCCTTCCTCCATTGCTATTTCCCCAACACAGTTTAATGCACTAATCTAGTGCAATTATGTATTAAAATTTGATGAGCAAGAACTGGAATATACTCAGCAAGTTTTGGTAGCACAAATCCACTCCAAAGACTGGTAAACTATACAAAGATTCAAGCACCTGCTACACTGGTGAGGTTTTGAGGAATCCAGTGGTCTGTGGCATGAGGGTCTACTTCCTCAAAAGTATAAGAGGAGGGGTGCGTATGGTGGCTCACACCTGTAATCCCAGCACTTTGGGAGGAAGAGATGGTCAGGTCAGATCACTTGAGGTCAGAAGTTCAAGACTAGCCTGGCCAACATCGTGAAATCCCACCTCTACTAAAAGTACAAAAATTAGCCAGGTGTGGTGGCGCCCATCTGTAATCTCAGCTACTCAGGAGGTTGAGTCGAGAGAATCACTTGAACATGAGAGGTGGAGGTTGCAGTGAGCAGAAGTCATGCCACTGCACTCCAGTGGCAAAACAGTGAGACCCAATCTCAAATAAATAAATAAATAAGACAAATTGTTGGGTTGATGGCAAGATGGCCAAACAAACAGCTCTGGTGTGCAGCTCTCAGCAAGATCGATGCAGAAGGCAGGTGATCTCTGCATTTCCAACTGGGGTAATTGGTTCATAACATTGGAACTGGTTGGACAGTAGATGCAGCCCAAGGAGGGTGAGCCAAAGCAGAGTGGGGCATCGCCTCACCCTGGAAGCACAAGGGGCTGGGGAACTCCTTCTCCTAGCCAAGGGAAGCCATTAGGGACTGTCCCTTGCACTCCAGCCCAGACACTGTGCTTTTCCCATGGTCTTCTCAACCCTCAGACCAGGAGATTCCCTCTGGTGCCTGCAACACCAGAGCCTTGGGTTTCCAGCACAAAGCTGGGTGGCTATTTGGGAAGACACCGAGCTAGCTGCAGCAGCTTTTTTTTCTCATACCCCAATGGTGCCTGGAATGCAAGCAAGACAGAGCCATTTACCACTCCCCTGAAAAGGGGGCTGAAGCCATGGAGCCAAATAATCTGCCTTGGTGAGTCCTACCCCTACAAAGACCAGCAAGCTAAGATCCACTAGCTTAAATTCTTACAGCCAACACAGCAGTCTGAGCTTGACCTGGGATGTTTGAGCTTGGTGAGGGGTGGTGGGAGGGTGTCTACCATTGCTGAGTCTCCAGTAGGTGGTTTTAACATCAACGTAAAGAAAGTCACTGGAAAGTTCAAACTGGGTGGAGCCCACAGCAGCCCAGCAAGGCCTCTGTAGGCAGACTGTGTCACTAGACTCCCTCCTCACTGGGCAAGGCATCTCTGAAAAGAAGGCAGCAGCCCATCAGGGACTTATAAAAGCCCCCACCTTCCTAGGACAGAGCACCTGGGTACAGAAGGCTGTTGTGGGTACAGCTTCAGCATGCTTAAATGTTCCTGCCTGGTAGCTCTGAATAGAGTAGCAGATCTCCCAGTACAGCAATCCAGCTCTGATAAGGGACAGACTACTTCCTCAAGTGGCTCCCTGACCCCTGTGTATCCTGACTGGGAGACACCTCCCAGTAGGGGCCAACAGACACCTCATATGGGAGAGCTCTGGCTGGCATCTGGTGAGTTCCCTTCTGAGATGAAGCTACCAGAGAAAGGAACAGGGAGCAATCTTTGCTGTTATGCAGCCCCCACTGGTGATTTCCAGGCAAGTAGGGTCTGGAGTGGGCCTCCAGCAAACTCTAGCAGACCTGCAGCAGAGGGGCCTGACTGTTAGAAGGAAAACTAAAAAACAGAAAGAAATAGTCTCAACATCAACAGAAAGGATATCCATTCAGAGATCCATTCCAAAGGTCGCTGACTCAAAGACCAAAGGTAGCTTAATCCACAAAGATGGGAAGAAACCAGTGTAAAAAGGCTGAAAATTCCAAAAACCAGAATGCCTCTTCTCCTCCAAAGGATCACAACTCCTCACCAGCAAGGAAACAAAACAGGATAGAATTAGTTTGACAAATTGACAGAAGCAGGCTTTAGAAGGTAGATAATAACAAACTTCTCCAAGCTAAAGAAGCATGTTCTAACCCTGTGCAAGGAAGCTAAGAACCTTGAAAAATATAGATGAAATGCTAACTAGAATAACTAATTTAGAAAAGAACGTAAACAACCTGATAGAACTGGAAAACACAGCATGAGAACTTCATGAAGCATACGTAAGTGTCAATAGCCAAGTCGATCAAGTGGAAAAAAGGATATCAGAGACTGAAGATCAACTCAATGAAATAAAGTGAGAAGATAAGATGAGAAAAAAAAAGAGTGAAAAGAAATGAACAAAGCCACCAAGAAATATGGTATTACAAGAAAAGACCCAATCTATGTTTGATCAGTGTACCTGAAAATGAGGGACAGAATGAAACCAAGTTGGAAAACACTCTTCAGGATATTATCCAGGAGAACTTCTGGACATCTTTGCAGAGCAATAAAATACCAACCGGTTTCTACAAAAGAAAATAAGGAAGAAGAAAACCAAACACAATCAGAGGAATTGTTCCATGGCCAGAGAAGCTTGAGTAGCAAAGGCTTCCAGAGCTGAGCTGGGCGGTGCATCCACATGCTCTGCTCTGCACCTGGGCTGTCCGCCCACCTCCTGCTGTGTGGCACGGGGTAGGTGAGAATGAGGCGTCTCCACCTAGAGGCACAGCCAGGGTCCAGAGTCAAACCTCAGACCAGAATCTGTTCAGGCAGCAGTCAGGGAGGGTCTGCATTTGCCCGCTTACTGGCCTGATGGGTCGCAGGGCTTAGCCACGGGGGGTGGGGGGTGCAGCCCCTGAGCTGGAGGTGAGATGAGGGCCCGTGGCCTGTGCATTGCACCCCACTGGGCTATGGGGTGGTGCTGTGCAGTCTTCCTCACACTTGTCCTTTTACTTGTGGGGATCTCGTTGACACAACTGTTACACTGGAAGTCACTGGGGAGCAGTGTTGTGCTGAGTGAACATATATTAAGCTCTTTGAAATCTTTAGGAGACTAGCAAGGCAGGCCAACATTCAAATTCAGGAAATACAGAGAACACCACAAAGATACTCTTTGAGAACAACCCCAAGACACATAATCATCAGATATACCAGGACTGAAATGAAGGAAAAAATGCTAAGGCAGCCAGAGAGAAAGGTCTGGTTACACACAAAGGGAAGCCCATCAGACTCACAGCAGATCTCTCGGGAGAAAACCTACAAGCCAAAAGAGGCCAATATTCAACGTTTTGTTGTTGTTGTTGTTGCTGTTGTTTTGAGACATAGTCTTACTCTGTATCCCAGGCTGGAGTGCAATGACTTGATCTTGGCTCACTGCAACCTCTACCTCCCAGGTTCAAGCGAGTCTCCTGCCTCAGCCTCCCAAGTAGCTGGGATTACAGGTGCCTGCCACTACACCTAACTAATTTTTGTATTTTTAGCAGAGATGGGGTTTCACCATGTTGGGTAGGCTGGTCTCGAACTCCTGACCTCAGATGATATGCACACCTCGGCCTCCCAAACTGCTGGGATTACAGGCATGAGCCACCATGCCTGGCCTCAACTTTCTTAAAGAAAAGATTTTTCAACCTAGAATTTCATATCCAGGCAAACTAAGATTTAAGCAAAGGAGAAATAAAATCCTTTATGGACAACCAACTGCTGAGAGATTTTGTCACCACCAGGCCTGCCTTACAAGAGCTCCTGAAGGAAGCAATAAACATAGAAAGGAACAACCAGTACCAGCCACTACAAAAACATACCAAATTGGAAAGACCATCAACACAATGAAAAACTGCATCAACTAATGGGCAAAATAACCAGCTAGCATCATAATGGCAGCATCAGACTCATACATAACAATATGAACCTTAAATGTAAATGAACTAAATGCCCCAATTAAAAGACACAGACAGGCAAATTGGATAGAGTCAAGAACCATTGGGTGCTGTATTCAGGAGACCCATCTCACATGCAAAGACACATATAGGCTCAAAATAAAGGGATGGAGAAATATTTACCAAGCAAATGGAAAGCAAAAAAAAAGCAGGAGTTGCAAATCTAGTCTCTGATAAAACAGACTTTAAACCAACAAAGATCCAAAGTGACAAAGAGGGGCATTACATAATGGTAAAGGGATCAATGCAACAAGAAGATCTAACTATCCAAAATATATATGCACCTAACACAGGAGCACCCAGATTCATACAGCAAGTTCTTAGAGACCTACAAAGAAACTTAGACTCCCACATATTAATTGTGGGATGCTTTAACACTGTCAATATTAGACAGATCAATGAGACAGGAAATTAACAAGTATATCCAGGACTTGAACTCAGATCTGGACCAAGCGGACCTAATAGACATCTACAAAATTCTTTACCCCAAATCCAGAATATACATTATTCTCAGAACCTTGTTACACTTGTTCTAAAATAGACCACATAACTGGAAATAAAACACTCCTCAGCAAATGCAAAATAATGGAAATCATAACAGTCTCTCAGACCACAGTGCAATCAAATTAGAACTCAAGATGAAGAAACCCACTCAAAACCATGCAACTACACGGAAACTGAACGACCTGCTCCTGAATGACTACTGGATAAATAATGAAATGAAGTTAGAAATAAAGATGTCCTTGGAAGCCAATGAGAACAAAGACACAACATACCAGAATCTCTGGGACACACTTAAAGCAGTACGCTGAGGGAAATTTATAGCACTAAATGCCAAAAACAGAAAGGAGGAAAGATCTAAAATCAACACCCTAGTGTCACATTTAAAAGAACTAGAGGAGCAAGAACAAACAAATTCAAAAGCTAGCAGAAGACAAGAAATAACTAAGATCAGAGCAGAAGTGAAGGAAATAAAGACATGAAAAACCCTTCAAAACAAATCAATGAATCAAGGAGCTGTTTTTTTAAAAAGATCAACAAAACAGATAGATCACTAGCGAGACTAATAAAAAAGAAAAGAGATAAGAATCAAGCAGATGCAATAAAAAATGATAAAGGGGATATCACCACCAATCCCACAGAAATACAAACTACCATCAGAGAATACTATTAACACTTCCATGCAGATAAGCCAGAAAATCTAGAAGAAATGGGTAAATTCCTGGACACTTATACCCTTCCAAGTCTAAACCAGGAAGAAGTTGAATCCCTGAATCGACCAGTAACAAGGTCTGAAACGGAGGCAGCAACACAGCTGAATTCTACCAAAGGTAAAAAGGAAACTGGTACCATTCCTTCTGAAACTATTCCAAACAATAGAAAAAGAGGGAATCCTCCCCAACTCATTTTATGAGACCAACATCATCCTGATACCAAACCTAGTAGAGACAAAACTAAAAAAGAAAATTTTAGGCCAATATCCCTGATGAACATCAATGCGAAAAATCCATCACAATCAAGTTGGCTTCATCCCTGGGATGAAACGCTGGTTCAACATATGCAAATCAATAAATGTGACCCATCACATAAACAGAACAAAAGAACAAAACCATGACTGATGCAGAGAAGGCCTTTGACAAAATTCAACAGCGCTTTATGCTAAAAATTTTCAATAAACTAAGTATTGATGGAACATATCTCAAAATAATAAGAGCTATTTATGACAAACCCACAGCCAATATCATACTGAATGGGGAAAAACTGAAAGCATTCCCTTTGATGTGCCGCACAAGGCAAGGATGCCCTCTCTCACCACTCCTATTAAACATAGTATTGGAAGTTCTAGCCAGGGCCATTAGGCAAGAAAAAGAAATGAAGGGTATTTAATTAGGAAAAGAGGAAGTCAAATTGTCTCTATTTGCAGACGACAGGATTGTATATTTAGAAGACCCCATCATCTCAGCCCAAAATTTTCTTAAGCTGATAAGCAACCTCAGCAGAGTCTCAGGATAAAAAAATCAATGTGCAAAATCACAAGCGTTGCTATACACCAATAATAGACAAACAGAGAGCCAAATCATGAGTGAACTCCCATTCACAATTGCTACAAAGATAATAAAATACCTAGGAATACAACTAACAAGGAATGTGAAGGATCACTTCAAGGACAACTACAAAGCACTGCTCAAGGAAATAAAAGAGGACACAAACAGATGGAAAAACATTCCATGCTCATGGTTAGGAAGAATCAATATCATGAAAATGGCCATACTGCCCAAGGTAATTTATAGATTCAAAGCTATCCCCAACAAGCTACCATTCATCTTCTTCACTGAACTGGAAAAAAAACACCATAAACTTCATATGGAACCAAAAAAGAGCCTGCCTAGCCAAGACAATCCTAAGCAAAAAGAACAAAGCTGGAGGCATCATGCTACCTGACTTCAAACAATACTACAAGGTTACAGTAATCAAAACAGCATGGCACTGTTACCAAAACAGAGATATAGACCAATGGAACAGAACAGAGGCCTCAGAAGTAATGCCACATATCTACAACCATCTGATCTTTGACAAGCCTGACAAAAACAAGCAATGGGGAAAGGATTCCCTATTTAATAAACGGTGTTAGGAAACTTGGCTAGCCATATGCACAAAGCTAAAACTGGATCCCTTCCTTACACCTTATACAAAAATTAACTCCAGATGGATTAAAGATTTAAACATAAGTCCTAACACCATAAAAACCCTAGAAGAAAATCTAGGGAATACCATTCAGGACATAAGCATAGGCAAGGACTAAAATACTCATGTTTTCATGACTAAAACATCAAAAGCAATGGCAACAAAAGCCAAAATAGACAAATGGGATCTAATTAAACTAAAGGGCTTCTGCACAGCAAAAGAAACCATCATTAGAGTGAATCAGCAACCAACAGAATAGGAAAAAATTTTGCAATCTACCCATCTGACAAAGGGTTAATATCCAGTATCGACAAAGAATTTAAACCAACTTACAAGAAAAAAACAAACAGTCCCATGAAAAAGTGGGCAAGAGGTATGAACAGACATTTCTCAAAAGAAGACATGTATGCAGCCATATGAAAAAAATGTTCATCATAACTGGTCATTAGAGAAATGCAAATCAAAACCACATTAAGATACCAGCTCACACCAGTTAGAATGGCGATCATTAAAAAAATCGAGAGACAACAGATACTGGAGAGGATGTGGAGAAATAGGAAAGATTTTACACTGTTTCTGGGAGTATAAATTAGTTCAATCATTGTAGAAGACAATGTGGCAATTGCTCAAGAATCTAGAACTAGAAATACCATTTGACTGAGCAATCTCATTACTGGGTATATACCCAAAGAATTATAGATCATTTGATTATGAAGACACATGCACATGTATGTTTATTGCAGCACTGTTCACAATAGCAGAGACTTGGAACCAACCCAAATGCTCATCAATGATAGACTGGATAAAGAAAATGTGGCACATACATACCATGGAATACTATGCAGCCATAAAAAAGGATGAGTTCATGTCCTTTGCAGGAACACAAATGAAGCTGGAAACCATCTTTCTCAGCAAACTGACACAAAACAGAAAACCAAACACCACATGTTCTCACTCATAAGCGGGTATTAAGCAATGAGAACACATGTACACAAGGAGGGAAACATCACACACCGGGGCCTGTCATGGGTTGGGGGCTAGGGAAGGGGTAGCAGGGGGTGGGGTAATAGGGGAGGGATAGCATCAGGAGAATTACCTAATGTAGATCACAGGGTGATGGATGCAGCAAACCACCATGGCACGTATATACTGATGTAACAAACCTGCACGTTCTGCACATGTACCCCAGAACTTAAAGTATAATTTTTAACAAGAGAATAAATACATACATATATACACACACACATAAAAGAGAAGTCATATCATGGCCCTCTTCTCAATACTGTCCTCCAACTCTTCATCCAACTCAGAGCAAAGATCAGATCCAACCCCATTCCCCTGAAGCCATACCACTGACCTCATCTAGGGAAGAAAATGTCCTGTGAGGAGACAGGGAGGAGGCAGGGCCATGAGATCTTAGAGGAACTCCTGGTCTTGAACCCAAGAGAATTTTCCAGAACTATGACTACAGACCCAGGGCAGGATCAGGAAACACAAGAAAAGCAGGTGTGGGTCCTGGACCAACTGCCCTCCTAAGGTCTGTCCTTAGCAGGGACCTTCCCCTGACTCGTGAATGCTGGAATCAGAACCCCATCACCACAGTCATCAAGGTGATACATCTGTCCACTGTCACACGTGCTTCACAAAAGAGTAACTGCTGGCACACAGGGCCCCAGGCTAGATCGGCCCATGTGTGGATGGTGCTTCCCAGTAAGGAGGCAGAACACACTTCTACCTGGGGCTTGAAACCCCTAGTTGGACAAGAAAACCCACCCCTCACCCTTTCCCTACCTGAACTCTTTTTCCTACACATCACAGCAATGACCACAGCTCCAGTGACCACAGCTCCTAGGACAGCCAGGCCAGCAACGATGCCCATGATGGGGATGGTGAGCTGGGAAGACGGCTCTGGGAAAGGAGAGAAACGTGAAGGGCCCTGACCCCAGGTCTGAGCCCTGCCCCTGCTAAAGGCTCCAGAAGGGCTCTTCCTTTTTCTGAGAAGAGACATGATCCCCCATCCCCCTCCTTACCCCATCTCAGGGTGAGGGGCTCCGGCAGCCCCTCGTGCTGCACATAGCACGTGTATCTCTGCTCTTCTCCAGAAGGCACCACCACAGCCGCCCACTTCTGGAAGGTTCCATCCCCTGCTGGCCTGGTCTCCACAAACTCGGTGTCCTGAGTTTGGTCCTCCCCATCCCGCTGCCAGGTCAGTGTGATCTCCGCAGGGTAGAAGCCCAGGGCCCAGCACCTCAGGGTGGCCTCATGGTCAGAGATGGGGTGGTGGGTCACATGTGTCTTTGGGGAGTTTGATGGGAAGAGTCGGAAAATTCAGGCACTTTGCATCTTTCATGGGACACCCTAGCAGCACCCATGAGAACCTCCTGAAAATGCACAGGACACCTGGGATGGGGAAGGGAGCACAGAACCCAGACTGGACGCAGGCACCTGGGATAATCTCCTATGGAGATCATCTCCATGGAAAGTTGTAGCCTCAGGGAGGAATAGCGACTTCTGGTCCTTACTTAAGTGGAGACAACAGGACTCAGAAAAGCTGGAATCAGAACTTTAAATAAACACATTGAATGTGAGGCAGAGAATAAGGTCTGAGAGAAAAAGTCACGGTGCCCAAGGGTGCTGCAGGGGTCAAATGGGACCCCTGATCAGTATTCCAGGGACTGTCTTCCCCTCCATTTCCTCAGAGACGTCATCCCTTATTTGTCCTAGAGAGCATAGGGGGCCCTCAGAGGAAAGTCAGGAAAACTCAGGCCATTCTCCATTCAAGGGAGGCCCATATTCTAGAGGGGATCCCATTTCCCTCCCCTCCTCTTAGGAGGCCAGCCTGGGAGATCTACAGGAGATGAGGAGGGCTCCCCACTGCCCCGGTACCCGCTCGCTGCAGCGTCTCCTTCCCTTTCTCCAGGTGTCTGCAGAGCCACTCCACGCACGTGCCCTCCAGGTAGGCTCCCAGCCTCTCCGCCTCACCGACCGCCTCCAACTTGCGCTGCGTGATCTGAGCCGCCGCGACCCCGGCCCCGCCCCCGCGGTCAGCCCCGCCCACCAAGCCCCGCCCCCGCCCAGACCAACGCGGGGGGATTTCGGCCTAAACTGGAACCGAGTAAAGGCGCGTGGGGCTCTCCCGCATCCAGGGTCTGGGCGGGTCCCGCAGCCTCGGGGTGGATCTCGGACCCGGAGACCCGGGGCGACCCTTGCCGTCCGTGGGGGATGTGGAGGGGTCGCGACCTGCGCCCAGGGCCGGGGTCACTCACCCGCCCAGCTCTGGTTGTAGTAGCCGCACAGGGTCCACAGGTTCACTCGGAAAGTCCGTGCCTGGCCCTGACTCTCCGCGTCTGCAGGTCCCAATACTCCGGCCCCTCCTGCTCAGCCCACGGCGCCCGCCGCTCCTCTCTCGGATTCTCAGCGTCGCCGTCGAACCTCTGGCACTGCGTGTCGTCCACGTAGCCCACGGAGATGAAGCGGGGCTCCCCGCGGCCGGGCGGGGACTCAGAGGTGTAGAAATACCTCAAGGAGTGGGAGCCTGGGGGCGAGGAGGGGCTGAGACCTGCCCGACCTTCCTCCCAGCGCCGCTCCCAGGGTCCTGCGCCCCCGCCGGGCGGGCCCCTCGCTCCTCCCCACAGAGGCCGTTTCCCTCCCGAACCCGCACTCACCCGCCCGGGTCTCGGTCTGGGCCAGGGCCCCCGAGAGCAGCAGGAGGAGGGTTCCGGCCGCCAGGACCCCATCCTCGGCGTTGGGGAGAATGGGTGGGTGACTGGCTGCTAACGGGGACCGCGGCGACGCTGATTGGCTTCTCCAGAAACGCAGCCCCCCATGGGAGTGGGAACTAATGACCCACCATGAGTATCCTGGAAGAAAGACCCTACACCTGTTGGGAGAAGTGAAACTCAGGGGAGTGGGGAGTCCCCAACAATGGAGACCCGGCTCTGGGAGCCTGAGACCCTGAGAGCTACACCCGGCACCTGGGACTTTGTCGTGATCCCTCTTCTACACCAGGTCTTTTTGTCACACTGTCTGCCCGAATCCCTGCCAAGGATCTGTCTGTGGAAATCAGGGAGAGACCCCCAGGCTGCGCCCAGCCCCTTCCCCTTCACTTCTCGTCCTGGAATCCCCGACCCTGAACTGGACTCCCTGCCTCCCACTCCTTACCTCTCCCCTCGGACTCGGACTCACCCCGGTGAACTTGATGCCAGAGAGTGAGCTCGCCCTGGGAATGGAGGTGTAGAGACAGGGGTTTTTTCTCTACACCTGGTGAAGTTTTTCTGAAGCCACCAGATTCTCATAGAAACCAGTTTCTTTTTTGTTTATTAATACAGTAGGTAGCACAATACTGGTAATCCCTGAATGATTAGGATTCCAATCTGTAAAAGACCTGGGTCAAAAAAAAAAGCATTACGATTAAACTCTCAAAGCTCCAAAGTTTTACTTTCCCCGACTATGAATCTGTGACTCTGGGTTGTTGCGTTTAAAATTTCTTCATTCCCTAGTTCAAGTTTCCCTGTGTGAGTCCAGAACATCTCCTGAATACAGAGAAGCTGAGTTTCTTACTATATGTTGCAACGGGGAACCTGTAGTCACCACCTCAAACTTGCGAGTGCGCCATGCAGTCCCAATGCTCTTCGCCGACGCTCAAGCACTGCCTGTTTTCGTGAACTATGTACATCTAAGCAGTGTGCATATTTCATAAGCAGTGTGCATATTTCATTTGGACACTTGGTATTTTAGTAACCCTTATTTTTTAATCATAAAGAGGTCATTACTTTTTAGGAAGTCCCACAAAATGTATTAAATACAAATGCAAAGAACCCCTTGCTAGGCTCCTCCACTGCTTTAGAATTCTTTCCCCTGCTCCTTTTCCTCACTTCCTGCTCACTGGCCCTTCTCTCTGCCCCTCATCCCTCACACCTTCCTGTCTTTAGTTCCCACTGCCCAATCACTTCTGAATTGTTACTGCTATGAAAAGGGACTTGAGAATTCCCAGAGGAGCCTTTCAGCCTCTTCCAAGGCTCTTTCTGCCCTTACAAAGTAAAGCCAGAGACACCAGAAATGAAATTGTACACAAGTATTTGGTGTTTTCAACAATCACTGAAATTTCTGCAAGTGCCAAAGTTACATTTTTGGCAACTACATCAAAACTGAGTGTGCCCAGGACAGTCAACTCAGGCCCTGGGCTCTCATTCTAGTTGGATTCTGTAAGAACTGTATTCACCGTAAGAATTCTAGAGCCAGATCTTGCTACTCCACAATTGCCTCACGTTACAAGCAAATCTAGCCTGAGTCCTGTGGATTCCAGAGCTGCTCACGAGAAATCTCCGTCCCCGCGTGGATGACCTCAGGCTCGGCCCGCTCTGCCCACTCAGCCCGCAGCCCTGTGCCTGAGAGCGCGCAGTCAGAATCCTAGAGCAGCGCGGCGGCGCCCCCGTGTGGCCACAGGGCCGAGGACAGAGAACCCGATCCCCTTTCTACCCAGCCAGGTCCTTGCAGGCTCCCGCTCTGCTCCCAGAACTTGCACACAAGGGAGCCACTCAGTCTCTGAGTCTATCCAGTTTCCCAAAATCCGTGTTGACATGACCGTTTTCTCCCGCAACTGAGTGAATGGACTTTTCGTCTCAGGGCAGAGAGAGGCTTCCAGGGCAAATCAGCAGGATCAGGTCTAGGGTTGACCCACCCCCAAACCCTCGCCACCGCAAGACCTAGTCCCTCAGCCTCCAGGATGGGAGCTTGGCCTCCTGTCCCCTTCCCTGTTCCCACCGCTGCTCCTTCAGGTGGAGGCTGCTCATCCCAGCAATCAGCCTGTGAGCGCCAACCCTGGGGTCCAGGGAGAGCAGCCTCGGTCCAGGAGGCAGGGAGGCTCCAGGGAGCAGAAGGGAGAAGAAATAGATCATAAGAGAAGAAGGAATCATACCCAACACTGGAACTGTGAGTCAATTAAACATTTTTCTTTGTAAAAAGAAGAAGAAGAAAGAAAGAAAAAGGAAGAAGAGGAAGAGGAGGAGGAGGAGGAGGAGGAGGAGGAGGAGGAGGAGGAGGAGGAGGAGGAGGAGGAGGAGGAGGAGGAGGAAAGAAAGAAGAAGAAGAAAAGGAAGAAGAGTGAGTCAGGGAGGAGAGAAAAATGGGAAGCTTCCCTTTAGAAGGTGTGCGTGTGTGCGGTGTGTGTAGAGCAGAAGTCCCTAGGGTCCTGAAGAAAAGACAGCTAAGACCAGGCGCTAAGGGGCCCAGGGTAATAGTTCCAGGTCTGTACTTTCTGAGCTTGGACCTTACTGTCATATCAGAGTCCGGCCCCACGAGGCCTGGGGTCACAGCACTCAGCTTGCTGAACGGCTGCCTCTCATTGCCTTTGACAGCAAGAGCCACCATGCCAGGCCCTGGGGCCAGAGGGTCACAGGCAAAGAGCAGGCTCCTCTGCTGGAGCTAAGGAGATGTTGCTCTCGGAGGATATGTGCATGACTTAGATTGGAGTCTGAAGATGGTTGTGGGTTACAAAGAGCTCAGCAATGAGCCTGGCCCAAGCTTCTGACCCCTTGCCCTGGATCCTGAGGGCTTGAACTCTCCCTGTTCCCAAGAGGTCTCAAGAATTATTCGATTAATTCCTGCCCTCTGGGGACAGCCCCGCACCTCCCTCACTTCCATACTCTGGAACCCAGGCATCTGCCTCTTTTATTCTCCTGTGGCTACCCAAGCACCCCCAGGCCCTGCTCTCTGCCAACTCTGACCCCCGATCTCCAGGGTTTTGTCACCCCACCCCAAATTGCTGGATGATGTAGTGGTTCTGTATTTAGACTTTTTTAAACTCTCCTTACGGTTTTCTATAGTGGCCATACTAATTTAAACTCCTATCAGCAGTGTGTAAGAATTTCCTTTTCTCCACATCACCAGCATCTGTTTTCTTGTTTGTTTGTTTGTTTGTTTTGTTTTGTCTTTTTAGTTGTGTCTATTCTATCTGGGGTAAGAAGACATCTCATTGCAGTTTTGATTTGCATTTTTCTGATGGTTAGTGATGTTGAGCTTTTTTTTTTTTTTCATTCCTGTTGGCCATTTGTATGTCTTCTTTTGAGAAATGTCTGTTCATGTCCTTTGCTCACTCTTAAATGAGATTATTTTGTTTTTTAATTTTTGAGTTGTTTGAGTTTCCTATATATTCTAGATATAAGTCCCTTGTCAGATAAATGGTTTGAAAATACTTTCTCCCATTCAACAGGTTATCTCTTCACTCTGCTGATTGTTTTCTTTGCTGTGCAGAAGCTTTTTATTTTATTATAGTCCTGTTGTCTATTTTTGTTTGTGTTTTCTGTATTTTTGAAGTCTTAACCATAAAATCTTTGCCCAGACTAGTGTCCTAGAATGTTTCACCTAGGTGTTCTTCTACTTGTTTTATAGTTTCAGGTCTTACATTTAAGTATGCAATTCAACTTGAGTTGGTTTTTATATAGGGTTAGTGATAGGGATCTAATTTTATTCTTTTGCATATGGATATCGATTTTCATGTGTTCTTGACACCTTTGTTAAAAGTCAGTTGGCTATAAACATATGGATTTATTTCTGGATTCTCTATTATGTTCCATTGATTGACATGTCTGTCTTCATATCAATACCATTCTGTTTTAGTTATTACAGCCTTGTAATGTATTTTGCATCTGGCTTTGTTCTTTTTGCTCAGGATTGTTTTGGCTATTTCAGCTTTTTTTATTTTTTGGTTCCATAGGAATATTAGAATTATTTTTTCTAATTCTGTGAAAAACAACATTGGTATTTTTATTGAGAGTTCCTTGAATCTCTAGATTCCTTTGGGAATTATGGTCATTTTATTAATATTGATTCTTCTGATTCATGAGCATGGAATATCTTTCTGTTTGTTTGCATCCTCTTCTTTCTTTCATCAGTGTTGAATAGATTTCTTTTTAAGAGATCTTTGACTTCCTTGCTTAAACTTATTCCTAGGTATTTTTTTCTAGCTGTCATAAATGGAATTGCTTATTTCTTTCTCAGCTACATTACTAATGTATAGATATTATATTGATTTTTATGTGTTGACTTTGCATTCTACAACTTTACTGAATTTATTTATCAGATCTGATAGTTTTTTGGTGTAGTCTTTAGGATTTTCTAGATAAGGATCATATTATTGGGGGGGAGGGAAGAGAGGCTGAAGGTTAAGCTGATAGTCAATGATTTAATGAATCAGGCATACAAAATATAGTTTCCATCAAAACCCAAAAGGGCAGAGTTTGGAGAGCTTCTGCATAGTTGAACACAGGGTGGCTTAGAGGAAGGTGAGCAAGAACTTAGCCATGTGCCAGGGAGGGTGGTGCATCCCAACCCAACGGGACAGAAGCTCCTGCACTGGGGACCCTTCTGAACTTGCCCTGTGTATCTGTTCATGTGGCTCTTTATTTGTATCTTTTAAAACACCTTTTAAAATAAACTGGTAAGTGTATGTGAGTGTTTCTCTGAGTTCTGTGAGCCATTCTAGCAAATTAATCAAACCTGAGAAGTGGGTTGTGGGAACCCTGATTTATAGCAAGTCAGTTAGAAACAGGCAATATAACCTGAGGCTTGAGATCTACATCAGGAGTGGGAGCGGGACAGTCGTAGCAACTGAGCCCTCAACCCATGGGATGTGATGCTGTGTATAGGGAGACAGTGTTAGAATTGAGTTAGAGGACAGCCAGCTGGTGTCCGTCACAAAACCAATTGCTTGTTTGTTGGAGAAATTCCCTGTATTTCATCAGAGAAGTCTTCTATGTTGATAGTTGTTGTAGTGTGAGAGCAGGGGAAAAACAATTTGAGATTTTCCACACTCAGAGTGGTTCTAAATGTTAAGCTACTTTTAAATTTGACTTGGTCGTGCCTAACTAAATAGGATTAGATGTGAGAAATGTTTTGATATAATGTATAGGAAGGAACCAAAGGCTGATGAAGACAGGAGTGTTGGAATAGATGTTCTGGGCATGAATGCCCCCTTCATCTTCCCTGTCTCCCAAAAAAAACAAAAAATACTCTCTCTGCAGCTTTAACAAATACTGGTTTGGAAGAGAGTGCCTGCATTTTTCAATAGTTCTAAATGGCTATAATTGCAGGACTTTCATGATGCTCAGGATTGTCCTGATGTCAGTGGAGATGAAGGGAAAACAGAAAGTCAGAAGTCAGTGGAAAGGGATGTTTATAATAATTTTTCTTTCTTTTTTTTAGACAGAGTTACCTCGTGTTGCCCAGGCTGGAGTGCAATGGTGCGACCTCGGCTCACTGCAGCCTCCACCTCCTAGGTTCAAGCGATCCTGCAGCCTCAGCCTCCTGAGAAGCTGGGATTATAGGAATTTGCCACCACCAGAAAAAAAAAAGTAGGGGGGCCTTGTTCTTGGGTAGAAGGAGGCCTAAGGAATGACAAGACATTGGACCCAGGCATAGCAAAAGAAAAGGTCATGGAGGAGAGGAGTTCCAGCATGTGAGAACCCTGGTTCCCTCTCAGAGTTTGTGTCTTCACTCGGTTCACTATCCCCAAACCCAGCAGGAACAGGGAGAAGTGACTTGGCAAATCCCCCACCCATGATGGGATCTCTCAGCCAGAGACCACTTTTGAAAGTCAGTTTCCCCTGACTAAAAAGACAGGACATTTACCCTGTTAGAAGTTGATGTTTGCAAGTAACCTCCACCTGGGAAATTCTGGTTCATGGCAGGGTCTCCCTTTTAGCAATGAGAACAACTTCTGGCTAAGAAGTCTTTTATTAGCTGTGAGGAGATTGCTTTGATTTGCTCCTGTAGAATGGTACTCTACTGCTTTGCAGAGAGGCTTGCCGCACATTTCAGATCTCTGCTTCTCATTCCACACTGTCTGGCTCATGAGGTGAAGGTGATGAGAAGTGTCTTCAGATGGCACTCCGAGGTTTGTCTATCAGCATCATAGTCATGTATTACATATAGAGATTATTCTCTTACAAGTTATAATTTAGAGATTATTCTCTTACAAGTTATAATTTATTAATATGTATTTTAATCATGGCATAGATAGATGCTACCCAACTGTTTATTTTTATTACCTCTATGTTACACTGCTTAGATGGCCACTACTGGTACCTCTGCATTTTCTTTCTCATATGTGACATTAACATATAAGATTGTATATACATGTGGCTGGGCACAATGGCTCATGCCTGTAATCCCAGGCATGGGAGGCCAAGGTGGGTGGATTGCCTGAGGTCAGGAGTTTGCAACCAGCCAGGTCAACATAGTGAAACCCCTTCTCTACTAAAAATACAAAAAATTCGCTGGGCATGGTGGCATGTACCTGTAATCCCAGCTACTTGGGAGGCTGAGGCAGGAGAGTCACTTTAACCCAGGAGGCGGAGGTTGTAGTGAGCCAAGATCACACCATTGCACTACAGCCTGGGAACAAGAGCAATATTTTGACTCAAAAAATGATTGTATATACGTGGTGGCTTGGTTTCCAGGAATTGCTATTTAGACCATTCCTTCCAGTGAGTACAGTGGGAAAAGGAGGAAAACATACTTATTTGAAAAATCTGGTTGAGTGAATGGATGGGCTAACAAAGCAGTGAAGATTTGCCAGATCAGGAGAGCAACGTGAGCTGTGGGGCTGCTTCTGTGGATCAGAATCATTGACACCTGCTTCCTGGCCAGAAGCCAGCTTCCAGGATTCAGGACTCAGGATTCAGAACTTCAATGGTCTCTTGGTCTCTCTAGAATTCAGGGCTCATTTAGCCAGGGCTACGACCCTTCCACTCAATGGGCTGGATGATCCAAGCTTATGGTATGACTGCCTCTGGAGCATTTCATGCTAGAGAAATCCCAACAGGCATAGGTAAATGGTCTAAAGGGCTCCAACCAGCCTTCCATGGAACTCTACATAAGGCACTTCCCTGTGTTGTTGTTTCTGTTGGCCACGTCCTCAGGAATTTCGTGAAATGGCCATGTGGTCACTGAGTGAAAGTGAGGGTGGCGGGGTTGTGGGGGGAGTCCCTGGGCGGTGAGAAGTTTTGTGACCCTGCATCTTTTCCTTCCATCTCAACCAAAGACCACTTGTGAAAGCCCAAAAGCACATGTCATAAATGTCAGAGGTGAATCCAAGACCACGAATTCATTGTGCCCAGGAGCCTTGGGCCATGTGGCCCAGCAGTAATGAAGTCTATGAGGCCTTGGTCACCCTCAAAGTGCTGCCAGACAAGCAGAGAAAAATTTAAGAGGAGCTGCCGCTCATGGCCATCAGGCACCCCAGGAGCTGGACATGGCATTCATTGTAATTTCTGATGAGGAGCTAGAGAGGTTCCATAGCATATAGACCTTGATCAAATTGAGTTATGGTGGAGTCAGGCAAAACTCTGCAGTGACTCACAAGTACCTAA